CTACCTGTTATGTAGGAGTCTTCAGCAACTTTTAGATTACCCTGGGGAAGATGTAGAAGAGACATTCTGTTTGAATTTTACAGTAAGACATACTTAACATATCAACTTTGTGATGGTTTTGGTACAATCGAGGCCTGTCTATTTATTCATGTGTATTATAGTCTATTCCGCATGCTAATAGCACATACCCCATGTTAATGTTAAAATGTTCTTTTCTGTCAGCTCCCTTGTTCTTTTGTATGTGGTCCTGAAAACTGAGCTATTAAGTTGATTAAGTAGAGTGTTTTTAAAAATAGCCTTGTTGTCACTGTGGCATGTGCCAGAAGCTAACTTCTCATGCTAGATAGTAAGAGGTAGATTCCTAAATACTCCTTGAAAATGGAAGTTAGGTTTTGACATCACTAGGTCAATGCTAAGACAATTTAGAATTTCCCTCGCTGTCCTAATATTAATAGTTTTTAACTTGAACGTTTATAGTTTGTGTACTTAGTCATATTTTTTTAGAAACAAAATGCTGAAGACATTGCTTGGAGACATACTGATGTAGTCAGCTTTCCTGTGCTGCTGCAGCAATAAAAGAAGTTTTTATAGCTAAATGCAATAGTTTCTGTTATACAGGGGAGATTCCCGGAAATTAAGAGTTTGATCTTGATGTACATTGTAATGTCAGGTACAGCCCTCAACACATGCAAACATTTAGGACCTCCCAAAGAGAAATGGCATTGTTCTCCAGATGTGTTTTCCTCTGACTTGGGCAGAGTAAGAGCTTCCACGTTTCAATGTCTTTGCTTCAAAGTACTAATGCTCTAACAGGTTGTGAGTATTGGGTTCATCTTGAGTTTTTGGCTCTCTGTCCAGGGCCTGCTTGGAGTAAAAACAAGGTGTTAGGAAACTGCTATTTATGGTGAAGAGCCTTGCTGAGCTAGGAGAGTGGTGTCCATTTCCTTGTTTCATAAATTAGAGCACATAAAGTCTCTGAGATCAAACTTAGCCGTGGAGTGAGTCAGACCTGGATCTGACTGTGTCTCCGGCAGGACAGAGCTGAAATTCGGGATGAGGTAATGAAGCCATAGTGATGATAATGCAGACCTTCTTCAAAGGATACCTTTGAAGAAACACAAGAGCCTTTTCTCCAAATTCACTTTTTCATGCCAAAGGGCATTCTTACTCTTTCTTGCATTATATACTGCATAGTCTATAAAGACATACAGACATATCTGCTAAAACTTTGACACGAATAAATAACTGATATCCCAAACCTTGAAATTAATAACTCATCTTGCATCTCAAAATCTGAGCCTCTTTGATGTATAGCAACTTGAAAATTGACCACTTTGCATTTATTCCAGGTAACCAGTCAATGTACTGATATAGATTTGTGCTGGTGCCATCAAGGCCAGGCAAAAGCAGGAAAATGTCTGTGGTCACATTAGCTTCCAGTGAGAGCAGATGAGTTAAGCTACAGAGCTTCTGTTAAAAAAAGGGAGTCCTTTTTGTTACTAGAGCATGTGGGCTTAGTCCAAAACAATTTTTTAGTTATCAGTCTCTTGGTTTTTTTCCCCACAGGAAATTTACCTAAACCAGTAACTTTCTTTCTTTTTGAGTTCACACTGAGACTTAATAGCAGTCCTCCAGCACATGTAAGTGATGGAAGGTGGTGGAGCACTCAGGGCACTTGGAGAAAAGAAAAGAAGTTTCTGCATATGCCTTTTTTTTCTCTGGCACACTCTTTACATGCCAGTCATCAACTGTGAAATAGAACCCTGCATCTTTCTGTGGGAATATGGCTTGGAAAGTACTTCTGGTAAAATTAATTTCCTGTTTTTTTTATAGATCTGCAGGGAAAGCTATGGTGTGACAGAGCAGAAGAACCTGATTGAAGACGGAGATAAAATTCTGGTGCAGAAGGACAATAGGCAAGTGGGGCATACGTGGGGATGGACTCTGTTTGTGGTGAAGTCAGGTGCAATACCACAGAAAACTTGGCTGAAGTGAAATGTGGGAGAGAACTAGAAGTCACTGTGAACAAATTCTAAGACCAGTTGTTCAAAAGATACCAGGCAGTAGTAGCACTTGAACAGAACACAAGTTGTCATCACTTTCCACTAATGTTTGGAAAACGTCCCACACACTTTTGGATGGACATCGTCCCTACAAAGGGCCTTTGTATATACCCTTGACAGTTTTCTCATTTTAAGTAGAGTTTGAAACATGATTTTGGCCCCTGAATGTTAACATCCCTGATGGCTTGTTTGTATTCTAAATTCTGGAGCTGGAAACACTTTACATTGAGGATGCCTGATGGAGAACCGTCATAGAATCATAGAACCGGGTTGGAGAAGACCTCAGCGATCATTGAGTCCACCCTCCCGTTCTTATTAGACCATGGCACAAAGTGCCAC